TATCGAGTCCGAAGACCAATTCTCCAGATCTTCTTAGTAATAATAGTGCTCAATATGAATTGAATGAAAAGGATAACTTAACGTAGGAAGGATAGAGAGTACTCTACCATGGACAAATAAATGCTAATTAAATTAGGTATGGAGATGGACAGACACTACGATACTACGTCACTACTATATATTAATATAAAGATGGCAGATTTGTCTTGTATACTGCTGTGTATTATGGCTATTATGGTCATATTGGTATGAGACTTGCCCTGATGATGATGATAACAACTAATCTGATAATAAACAGTTTCGAGACAAGGAAATGGTATTTATTAAATTCAGTTCTGACAAGATATCAAGCACAACGACCTCGAAATAAAACACCGAGTTCGGTTATTACTGCCCTATTATAGACAGGTCTTAACGACTGCAAGAAACCACCATCTATCAGGATGCCACATGAGGATTGGACTTAGCAAGCTTTCAAACGGACCTTTGTCTTCTCTGGGACAGATCAAAAAAGTATCCGCAGTACGAATACAACGAATCTCGAGATCAAAGATGATGACTTACTCCCGTCTGCATCATGTCATATATATTGCCGATCTTCATGACTGGATTTTAAACTGGGGAGGGAAAATGCGAGCGTGTTGCCACCTCGAGAAAAAAAAACAAAACCTTTGGTTTTCAATGCAAAAACAATGCTGTTTGCTTGGAATTTGCTATATACGGTTTGCATATATCTATTTTCCAAGTAATAGAAACATGATAAAAATCAACTGAAAATCGATTGCTTTGATGTGAAGGAGTTTTATAGATATACTAAGAGGAGAAATGAGCATTGTTGATGTTAAAAAAATATGGCCTATATGCAATTTTTATATAGTGCAACTTGCTTATAATTTATATACTATATATCACTTCCTGCATTTACTAAACTCTCATATTACTCCTTTAGATAAGTATGTCTTTACAGCCAACCCACGCAGGCATTATTATAGGCCAACTGTGTGACCCATTCATTACTTTAATAGAAAAAATTCTTTTGCTGATCAGAATAGAAAATTGCTCTTTTGACTAGGTAGGTTTGAGGCTGAAGCCTTTTTCAAGAAGGGAGGTAGCTATAATAGGTAGTTAGTGCTATCTGCCCGTCACTAGGTATGTACTGTACATACATTATCACTGTTACCTTGATAGCTTATTAATAAATTACTGAGACAGGCAACAGCATCTTGACAGCTCATCAATAGATCATTAAAGGCAGGCAGTAGTAGGGTTAGAGCAGACTAGACACTAGTATATAGTATAGAACCCCTTCTTAGACAGCCTAGTTCTAGAGATCAGCACTCCGTTCTTGTTTCCCCTATCCATATATCTGCTTGTCACTGTCGAGTCAATGGCGTATCGCCTACCCCACAACAGCTAAGTCGTATTCGTTTCGTTTGAGATCCTTCCCCTCTACAGTTTGGAACCTGTTCATCTCGTCTACTTCTCTTACCTAATAATGTAATGTAGACCTGTATTTCCATTTTAGGTATCAGATCGGACAGAAGTCCGAATTACCCATTCGGGATGGAATAATCTCCACTACCTACCCACTCGACGCGTGGGATCGTTCAGATTTGGCCAATCTGATGAATATTGACCCGCCGAGATGAGAGTAGACAGATCGTACAGTACATGTACCTTTTTTTTTGGATGACGATGATGTATTGGAGCGGCGCTGTGCCGACGTGGCCCTGGCCCGCACCCCGCTCGTAGTTGGAGATGGAAGAAATGATATAAAGTACTGAAGTACGCAGTAGATGTGGATTATTTAGATAAATACATTTGAGACAGCAGGTCTGGTCTTATCCAACTCATTTGACTGTATATCAGCATGCCCCGCCACCTCAAATCAGCCACCAAGACTTCCGGCAACAACGCCAACTCGACAAACGTCGCCTCCATCGTCCGCAACGTCATCGACGACATCCGCGCCAACGGCGACGCCGCCGTCCGCAAGTACTCGGAGAAGTTCGACTCCTGGAGTCCGCCCTCCTTCAAGCTGTCCGACGAGCAGATCCAAGCTGCCATCGCGGCCGTCCCCGAGCAGACTATCCAGGACATCAAGGAAGCGCAGGCCAATGTGCGTCGGTTCGCCGAGGCGCAGCGCGCGTCGCTCAAGGACTTTGAGATGGAGCTCCACGGCCCGGGCGTGTTTCTGGGGCAGAGGAGTCTTCCTGTGAATCGCGTGGGGGCGTAAGTCGTGACCCTCCGGTACAAGGACGAGTGCTGATTTATTGTGTAGGTACATCCCCGGCGGCAGGTATCCCCTCCTGGCCAGCGCGCATATGACGATCCTGACGGCCAAAGTGGCCGGCGTCAAACACGTTATTGGATGCACGCCGCCCATCGCCGGGCGCATCCCCAATGCCACCATCGCGGCCATGCACCTCGCCGGCGCGGACGAGATCTACCTCCTGGGCGGCGTCCAGGCCATCGCGGCCATGGCCCTCGGCACCGAGACGGTCCCCAAAGTCGACTTCCTGGCGGGACCGGGCAACGCGTTCGTCGCCGAGGGCAAGCGGCAGCTGTTCGGCGAGGTGGGCATCGACCTGTTCGCGGGGCCGACGGAGATTCTGATCGTTGCGGACGAGCACGCGGACCCGTACACCTGCGCGGTCGATCTGCTGTCGCAAGCCGAGCATGGGCCAGACTCGCCGGCGATCCTGGTCACCAACTCGGAGGCTGTGGGCCGCCAGACGCAGCAGTGGGTCGAGAAGCTGCTAACCATCCTGCCCACGGGCAACATTGCCGGCATCGCGTGGGAGTCGTTTGGCGAGATCATCGTCACCGATTCTCTGGACGAGGCCTACGCCGTCGCAGACGAGTATGCGGCCGAGCACGTCGAGATCCTGACGCAGAACCCGCGCGAGGCGCTCGACAAGATGAGCAACTACGGGGCGATCTTCCTGGGCGAGAACACGTGCGTGTCGTATGGCGATAAGGTGGGTCACAAGAAATCCTATAATAACCTCTATCTAGCTCGCTATACTGACGATACTGACGACGCAGTGCATTGGAACGAACCACGTCCTGCCCACGCGCAAAGCGGCCAAGTTCACCGGAGGCCTCTGGGTCGGCAAGTTCCTGCGCACGACGACGTACCAGGAGGTGCGCAATCCGCAGGCGAGCGGCGAGCTGGGCCGGCTGTGCGGACGGGCCTCGCGGGCAGAGAACTTTGAGGGCCATGCGCGGGCGGGCGATTTGCGGGCGGCCAAGCATCTCAAGGACGAGTATGAGTGGATTGTGAGGAGTAGGGGTGGCTGATATAGGAGTTTTCGACGAGAGAGTAGTAAGTTGAACTCATGGAATAAGCTGGACGTTCATAAGAGTAGGCTAGCTGCCTGCTAGACAGTAAACCATATAACAATTATTCTTTTTTATATAGATAATAAAAGCTAGATTTAAGGCTCAGTTAGTAAGTAAAGCTATAAGAAAGCCAGGCTAGATGTCTAATTAAAGCTCTTTATTGTTAGAATAAACATTTTGGGTATACAAAATAAGTATATACCCTAATAAGGGATATTAAGTAGTGTACATACTAGTAAAACCCTTTTCTCCTTAATTTATATAAATAGAGTCTTCTCCTCACTCTAAAAAAAAAAAAGAAAAAGAGAAGAAGAGAAGAAGAGAAGAAGAGAAAAGGAAGAGAAGAGAAGAGTACAAGTCTATTTTTATTAGCCTAGTTGGAGTTGAGTATGTTGACTTTTAAAATATACCCTTATTTCGATGACAACATACTAAATTGCCATCCTTCGTATCTCGCTGATACGAAACCAGGAAAATCAGGTTGACACTCTAGTGTCCAGGCCTGGTCACTTGGATTCTGTTGTGCAGTTCCATCTATCCAGTTGGTCTTGACACTTAGCAGACACTACATTGACAAGTGTTGAGCTGTCCTGCATCCATTAGCCAGGAGAGCAGAACAATTCTTATCCTCCTACTATTGGCAATACCATTATTATCTATCTGTATGCTTCCAAAGAAGATCAACACTATACTATCTATCTATCTGCATATGTACTGTACAGACAGATCCAATGAATAGCTGCCAGTAAGTCCTCGATAACAATCCCGACTGCAGGATGCAATGCAATGCAATGCAGCAGCTGTGTTTGTTGGAGGATTTGTTGTCCTACCTACCTAACTATCTGCACCTATACCCTAATACTGTAATACAGTGCATACATACATGCATGTACTGTATATATGGACAGTCTGATTCTGTGATCATAGCATTTTTGTCTGTGAATGAGGGATTGAATTGGGATAGTATGTATATATGCACAGTACATACACAGTCATTATGTGGTATCTCAGGAATTGGACTGCCTGTCACATCACGTCAATCATATGTCATAGCACCTCATATTGCAACACTGTATTTATTAATATTGGGCGGATTGGAAATCGAGCTGAACTGTGACTTCTCTTCCTGCTTTCTGCGTGCCTGTGGAGGTCGGTACTTAGTATGTATGTACTATACACACTGCAAGTGTTGGTCAGGATAGATCAGTCAGGATTGCAATTTCTGTTCTGTTCTGCTCTGCTCTGCTTTCCTTCCTTCCTTACTTGCTTGTTTGAGTCTTATTATTTTTTTGTACACAGTATACAGTATAAACTGCATATGTACTGTACAATGTATATGTCGATTCTGGTTATCAAGTTCATGATTGCTATCCCATACCATGTTGGATAGATAATAAACGATACTGTAGCAGTATGACCCTGCAAGTATACTTACTTATACTATCTGTATTGTATCTCCAAAACATGCAGCATATGCAGCTATCCGTTTAGCAACCACTCGACAATACCAACCATTTCAAATGAGGTATACATACGGATAGATAATGCAGACTGACTCGAATTTACTAAAATATTCCAGTTTTGCTTGATTTTCAGTTTTATGGATTTCTTCTAGTCTACCTACAATTCTGTCTATTTTTGAATCTTTGTATTGTCTGTCTGTTTGATGCAGGTGTAGCGCATGAGGATTGTAGGTACGTATATGTAAGCTTACTCATCGTCGATACGGTCGTAAGTAAAGTTTCGACCTAATCAAGCCCCTCTGTCTGTCTGTTGAGACCCAACCTTGCTGCCCCGGACAGATACGGACAAATGCCGGATACGATGCATGAAGACCCAACAAGCTTGGGGACATATTACTGGCTAGACTAGGATAGGCTACTGTCAGCCTGACGGGTCAAACTCGTCAGTATAGTACGTATAGGGTTTACACTGCTGGCCAGTAGTAGTCTACCAGTAGTCTACCAGATGAGGGGTAACTACCAGTCACCAGTCACCATACATAGATAAGCGCCGTACAGACAAGAGTACCTAATTATCCGTGGAGACCCATACAAGGCTGGACTAGACTGTGTCTGTGTCTGGTGACCTCCATGGGTCTAGGTCTAGGGCCACTGGTCGGGAGGGGAATGAATGAGGGGACTGAATGAGGGGTACCGAGAGAGGAGTACTGCAGTAGTACAGTACAGGTAGAGTACATATGTAGGGAGTACTCCGTCTCAAGTACTGCTCATACATCGTATATCCTACCTAACAATCCAAAGACAATGCCGGCATGGCGGCTTTGAAACGCTGGTAGATAGATTACTTCGATATGGATGCTGATATCAGGTGGGGCGAGCAGGAGGGGTAAGGTGACTCGTATTCCGGAGTAGGTTCGGCCCGTTTGCCAGAGAGACCCATGGGCCATGGCTGCCATGCCATGCCATAAAATGATAGCATAGCATACCATACCTGCCACAGATGGCGATGGAATGGAATGAACCAAGAAGTCATGTGCCTGTCGATGAAGAGGGGGGATCCCTGCGGCACGTGGCCGGCAACTGCCGGGTCACGGGATGACCTCATTTATTTATTCCGTCTTTGTAAGCAGTGTCAGGTGGTTACAGGCATGGAAGGCCACAGCAAAAGGAATCCAGATGCGTCAACGTCTGGACGAGATATGATTGCATTCCTGCTTGCAATGTTAATGACGCACTGACCAACGATAAGAGGACTAGGTCAAGGGCAGGGTAAGGGCAAGGGCAAGGGCAAAGCAGGGCACACCACACACACAAATAAAAAAAAGGAACAGCGAAAAAAAAAAGACAAAACACAGACCACCCGGGTGAAAATTTCGAATGGAAAGTTCCCTGCAGGCTGCAGGATGAGCGGGGGCTAAAACTAAACGACTAATTAAACGACTAGCAGGGATGCCTAAGCCACAAAGCATGGCCGATGACAGGCTGGCACGACGGACGGGATGCAGCCGGCAGCAAGGGACGGGATGGGCGAAACGAAGAAGAAAATTCCAGAGAAAAGCAGACACCACAGGTGAGGACTCGTTCTTGGCCAGTCATGTTCTGGAGATAATATCCTCGAGATGTCAGTCGCTGTTGAAGTTATTCTTTTCTTTTGCTCTTTGTACTCCGATATTCCCCTGTGCGTGTGCATAATATCCTGGCCTTGAAGTGGGTGCAAGCAGCCCCGCTCCCCTCGGGTACATCCTTGTCCTTCAGGTCGCACAGCAAGGGGTACAGTTACAGTCAATAAATCAATGTTCAGCCGTGTGCATCCTGCGAGAACATCTCCTCCAACAGTCGTTAATTCTGTCGATTGTGCGTTGACTGCCGGCAGTTCTTGGCCCGAATCGGGCTGAAGGTGCCTGCATTGCTACAGCCAATCGAGTCTGCTGCCGGACCGCCGGATCCATCATCCGACACAGCGTATCCACTAGAAGTGACAACGTTGACAGACAGACGCAGTAAACAATCTTCTGTACGAGGAGTCGAGGACAGAATACAGAGTACAATTGTTGAGTAGCAGTTTATGGATAGAGCTGCGACTTGTCAGCAGTAAATCTAGGAAGGCAAAGAGAAGACAAACAAGCAGCCAGATTCTATTTCATTCTGCGACAAGGGCAAGTTGATGTACCCTGTCCAACCCTCCATCGAAAAGTCGGTGAACGTCCAGTTCAAAATCCATCGCCTCTTAATCAAGACTCGGATGCATCTGACAGGGGAGACGCCGACATCGGGACCCGTCGACACACGGATACAGATCGACTGAATCTGCAGTCTTGTCTGCAGCGTGACCCGTTTCCATTTTCCGTTGCCCTTTGTTCTTATCTCTGCTGTCGGTAAGGAGAATTTCTGGACCCAAGTCGTTGGGTCATAGCCCTATCCTCAACACCATTCATTCTCCCATCGTATGTGGAGTAGTCGTGTACTTCGTTTAAACAAGATTCGTGGACTCGCTATCCATGGTTCAGGATGGAGATCCCGTGACATGACGTCCGGCCCGCGGATCCATCCTCCAGATGGGGCGACATTCCATCGACGCCCACCCATACCGCTGAAACACCCCGTCTTCTTTTATCAACGAAGAATGAAATTTTTCTTGCTTGGCAGACGCCGATCGGAATGACTCCAAGCCCGAGCCCGTGATCTCAGCAAAGCCATCTCCGATCTCCTTGCTTGAGGCAGCACTACACTTATCTTGCATGAGAGCATGCGAGCGACGAGCCCAGATCTGGCACCGTTGGGCGCCAATGAGATCTCCCCTGGCACCTTCGCAGCAGTACCACCAACGCTGGCGGTGAGTCAGTCTCGGAGTTAAAGTCGTATTTACAGATGTCGATTTAATTATCTTGTTGTACTCTGTAGAATTCTGAACCGGTCACTCCGTACAGTGTAGTACTCGAGATCTCGTTGACGCAACTGAGTAGTACGGAGGCTGCAGCGGACGCTATATTAAGGACTCTCAGCACGTTGCCTGCCTGCTTGACGCGGCTTACGGGCCAAGCGCTTTGCCACAGTCTAGCATATTCTCCCAATTCCGTCCACGCAGATCGAACAAATCCCATCCAACCAGCCGATAATCGTCACGGCCTGACGGCGGTGAATCAGGATGACCCCACCTGAGTCACTGTCGACGCGTCTATTCTTGGTATGCCATTGGAAGGACGAGTCGACGACAGGGAGGGCGCCTGACCGGTGGCTTTGATATTTGCCTGTAGTTCTGCTCCTGCAGAGCCGTTGAAGACTAACTCACATGCCAAGGGATTAATTAGGATGAAACAGATTCAATGATTGCCTAGATCCTGTCCTATCCTTGTGTTTCTTCTATCAATAGATAATCAAGCATTGCGGCGACATAAGACTGCAGTCAAGGCAGCAGGGCATGCCTTGCAAGGACATGACGATTCAATCGCTGGGTTTCTCATGAACTGTGGCGGTGTCCAGTATCGACAGAATCACGGTGAACTTCTGAAGTAACCCCGGCACGTTGGATTCGATCCTGGCCGACACGGCTGGAGCCGTGTTGGGTGGATGAATCCGACGCACTGACTCAAAGCTATATATGACTCGCACAAAGAAGAGCTGGGAAAATTCTTTCACGGGGGAAGAATTCAACCTGGCCGATGACTCCTCGTAGACAGCAGTATTCTGACCAGCTGAACCCTGTAGGCGCGGCGACGAGGGGTGCACACCCTCTTCAGCTGGGAGGGAGGCGTGGAAACAGCCTGTGCGGTTCTAGGGCGCGCCCAAATGTGATGTGATGAGACCAAATTAGCAGCCTGAGCCTCTCCACTCGGGCTCGGAGGATATCCCAGTCTTTCGTCTTGGGCTGCAGTCGCGATCGGGTGTTGGACACTAGCGGGCTAGCCTTGCTGGGCGCACCTGCCGTACAAAACTAAGCCGTCGCTTGGGCGGCCCTTTCCCGCTTTCTTTTTCTCTCTTCCTTCCTCCTCCCTCACTCCTTCTCTCCCAGCCACCTTGGTTGCTTCAACCAAGTCTTACAGCCAACTCTCTGTTTTCGACCGCCGCCGCTGTCACGGGCGCGGTTTCTGGGCCAGACTCCAGAGACCTCTGGCATCGCGCTCTCGCCTGCCCCTTGGGTCCTCGCGTCGGATCCAAACCCCTCCATCGACTCTGGTCGACGTGTTCGGCATCACGACGCTCAAATGCCCGTGCAGCAAAGACACGCTCAATCCCTCTCCTCTCCTCGACTGAAACCCGTACCGCGGTGACGGTCCTCATCCTCTGTCCTCGTTTCCGGATTTTCTATTTCTTGCGTGGTTTTTTTTTGCCGTGATATCCTGTACAATATAACGGGTGTTTGTGTGTGCTTTTTTCTCGTTTTTTTTTTTTCTTGGCGATTTCCAGTTACCGCGGTTTTTTTCACCAGCGAAGAGCGTCATTTTTTTTTTGCGGAGTTATTTCTTCGTCCATGCTATTGCGTCGATAATGTATCATTACTCCAGTCCACCGCCCCGGTGGTCTGCCTACGACTACACGACCTCGCCGCCGACCTCTCCTCATTACTCCTACTACGCCTCCCAGTATGCCGCTCCGTCGCCGCGACCCACCCCGAAACGACACTCCCGCAAGGCCAGCTACGCGAGCCCGCGAGAGGCGAGTGGATGGTATTCGGCGTACGCAAACTATCACGATGCGATGCCCGAATATGCGTCACCGCGCAAGCACGATCATGTAAGTGCGTTTTTTGGTGACAAAAAGAAGAAGGCGAGGAAGAAGGTGCGGCGTCGCTTCTCGATGCCGGCCAATCTTCCGCCCTACGATGGCTTTGGTTGGGGCTACGACTATGTCCGTCCGTCGCGTTCGCAGAAACGATCCGTCTTTGTAGATGTGGTCGACGATGCAGACGATGAGCCGCGATACGTCTACCGCGAGCCGAAGCAGCGCACCGCCTTCAGCCAGCATCATCATGAAGAACGATATTCTTATAGGCCGACCACTGATCATTATTTTTGCAATCAGGTCCCCGTCCACGATGATGCTGCTGACTCCCCCAAGCGCTCCCGGGCGCGCCGTGCTTCTACCTCGACCCGCACCCCTCCCAAGCCGAAGATGTCTGCGCCCCCAAAATCGCCCCGCAAAGCCACCGAAGAAGATGCAAGGAAGGCCGGCATCCCCGCAGGCTACTCGATAAAGAACTGGGATCCGACAGAAGCACCCATCATTCTGCTCGGTAGTGTGTTCGACGCCAATTCTCTCGGCAAGTGGATTTACGACTGGACCGTCTACTATCATGGTGCCTCGACCCCGATGGCAGATGTAGCGGGTGAACTGTGGCTGTTATTGATCAAACTGGCCGGCAAGGTGAAGCGGGCGGACGAGTGTCTGTCCCGCGTTCAACGGCCCGAGGCGCGGGAGATGCTGACCGACTTTCTCGACAGCGGCGACCGTTTGTGGATGCGGTTTAAAGCCCTGCTGAAGGAATGTGAGCATTACATGTGGAAGGCAGCGAAACGCGAGAGTGGTGGCAAGGGCCCCATCTCGATGGGACGCAGCGCCGGCTGCGAGTTTGTCGAGTCGATCTTTGGCCGTGACCGCAAACTGCAAGACACGGAGAAATTGATGAACAGCATCCGACTGTGGGACATGCGGTTCGACGCCAACTGCGAGGCGATTCTGCGGCCGTCGCGGCGGCAGTCGACTGCATGATCTAGAACAGATTTTTTTTTAACTTCATTTAGAGTTTGTCCTGGAAGGCAGAAAAAGTTGCTTTAATCCGGTGGTATTGGTGTTCGATTCTTCCACTGCATTGATACAGATCTCTTCTTAGGCGTGAGGGACTGGACCGTGCATTTTTGCATGTTGTTTCTGGAGGATTTCTCGCCTGATATTATTCCACGGGGTTCCAGTTTTCTTTTCGCGATGCGATCGATTCTTGGCGTTTCTGCTGCATTTTCTCGTTTCTCGTGGGATTGCAGTCTTCAGTCTGGCAAGGGATGTTGTTATACCCGGCGCGGCTTGGAGTTGTGATTCTCATTCAGTTTTTCTTTTTTTTTCCTTTTCTGTCGAGTTGGATGTCTTTTCCTTGCTCGATGATACCACTTTGTTTGTCGTTCATTTGGTGTCGAGTTCGGTGTGAACGAGACATGCTAGTTGCTTACTCGAGACATGGCTAGTTGTTTACTAGCGTCCAGTCGTTACTTGATTATTTCCTTACAATCGTTAGATCATTTCACTGTCAGTTTGAAACATTGTCCTGATAGTAATGCAAGGTCAATTATGCTTTTATTTATCCGTACAGAATCTGATTGTAAACTCGAGACCTACTCCGTATAAGACGCTCAACTAGGATCAACTCAGTACCGAACGACACAACTCAACCTTACACGTACAGTACCGTACTCTGCAGTCCATGTCTTCTACTCCGGCCACGAATCATCGTAGTTATCTTGGTCGTAGTAGTAGTAGTCGTAGTAATAGTTCTTCTTCGTCTCTTCCACATTTTCCTTTTCTTTCTCTTTTTCTTCCTTTTCTTCTTTCATCTCCCTGGCCGGCCATCTGTCGTCCTTTCTGAAAGTGAACATGCCGGGCCACTGCTCGTTCCGCAACAGCTCATTCTCCTCCTCAGCAATCGCCTGCTCCAGCACAGCAATCTTCTTCTCCCGATGGACGATCATGGCGCGCTCTCTCTGCAGCACGAGCTTCTGCCGACGTAACTCTACTTGCTGGGACAAAGTCAGATCCATCCAAATGTATGTATGTACTGTACATATCACCTTCTCGCCAAGAGACATGTACTCAACAGGTTTTCTGCGATTGGTCCTGCTCCTGTTTCTTGGTCTGGGTCTGGGCCGTGGGACGTAGACAGGTACGAGGTTCCATTGATTGAACTGGTTGCGCTGGAACCGGAGGACGCGAGCGGTTGCGGTAGCAGCAGCGGGATTGTGAAAAGGGTAGTTTTTGTTCTGATGAAATTCCGGAAATGGGTTCAATTCTTTGCCCTCTTGTGCTTGTGTATGAAGGGCCACTTCTTACCCTGGGAATAGTCATTTGAACGAGCGAGGCGTCGCGAGGGCTAGACGAAACGAAGAAAGTAATGTAAACGACTGCTCGAGTCGAGTCGAGTCGAGACAAGGAATCTGGTATAGAAAAAAGAGCCAGAAAAAAAAAGCTTGGAAATGTAGCTGTAGACACCTAGCTCTCTCGAAAGTGTGAGAGAGAGAGAATGATGATGGTCTCTCGCGTGGTGGATGATCATGTCTCTTACGTGCACTGAGTGAACGCGCCTTCCAGCAAAACCAAAAACAACACACACACACACACACACACACAACAAAAAGGCTGATTATACGTGGTGAGGTAGGTATGTACCTAGTAGACGAACGATATCCTTTGCATTGCACCTTCTGATTTTGATACCTCTTTATTTTATTCAGGTGCTTTATTAAATGCCTATCTGGGTGGAAAGAGCTATCGCCTACATAACCTCCTCCTTCCCCTTATCCTTTCTTCCACCTTCTGAAACTGCGCATGTAGAGAAATTCTCCAGTACGAAAAGAATGGACAGACACAGATTGGATTGGAATTTTTACAAGCAAGAACTGTAAAATTCAAGCATATCATGATACAAAGGAAAAAAAAAGGAAAAATGGAGTTTTCTTTTCTTTCCTCTTACAATAACGATGGGGTAAAATAGCGGTATATTTCTCTTTCTAACTACCTAAGCTAGCCCCATAATACAGTGGCTTGGTTAAGCATGGTTAATGAAGACTGGCTATGAGAAGATGTCATATGAGGGACGCTGAACCCAGAGGCGATAGGTTTGGAGAGGATATTAGGGAATTATCAGGATTGAAGTCAGGTTCGAAAGCATGCAAACAGCATTACTGTCGCAAAAAAGAAAGCTCAAAACTAAATATCTCAATTCGGTTCTTCTTACGATGGAAGAAATGTCTAATAACAATATTAAACAAGATTGAGAAACGCAAAGTATAAAGATAAAAACAGCCCTTCGTATTCCCGAGGGCGACGGGCATTAGAATGGAGCAAAGTGCACCAATCTTTCTGTACTTGTCATTGCCTCTGGCTGCCCTTCTTGATCCATCAGCGCTATATGCTAACAGAGGTGGGAGAGGCAGGCCCCAGCGTGTGCAGATGCTCTCTTCGTCCCGTCGTAGGAAGATCACCTGTTGCCGCACAGGAACAACTAACTACGTTAGAACCAGCTCATTCAGCATAAACTTCAAGGTGGGAAACTTACCCGCTGGGGGAGGGGGGTGGGCGCAAACCGACAGTTTCCTCGTCTTCTTCATCACCTGGCAGGGGTTGCGTTCAAGGGCAAAGGCGCTGAAGAATAAGTGCAACAATTTGTACACAGCGTGCATCCTCACGTTGATATTGTTGTTCCTCTTCTCTATAATGTATGTTAAGTACTCAGACATGCACTAATAAAGAAGAGATGATGTAGTCTGCTCACAGTCGAGGTCAACTCCCGCAATGAAGGCTTTCCTGGACCAGAGTCCGTCGAGCTAAACTTCAACTCGGTGTTTCTTCGTATACTCTGCTATTTTTCCCCACAGTGTTAGGGTAGGTTTCGTTCATTTTTGAAATTTCTGTCCATTTGCAGATCAGTTAGTATTTCCACTCTTCTGAACAAGTCCTGAACAAACAAAAGGGCTGTGACAACCGTTCAGACAATGACTTTTCCAAAACCTGCAGCGCGTTGTTGAGCTTGGAAATTTCCTCTGGCACGGTGAAATCATTCTGGGAGACAATCTGGTCGTTGTTATCCGAAAATTGTAGTGCGAGCGGGCCTTCCGATAAACCATAATGAAAAAAAGGCTCTTGACTCTCGAGTTGATTGTCATGACCGACTGACTTATCGACGAGCTTGATTGATGTGCACTTGAGAAAATAAATCCAGGTCGGAAGATTATTGTGGTGTTACCGCGATTTAACTCGTTTTGTACGTTCCCATTCTCTTCTATCGATCCTCTACTTCTTCATTCTAGCTGAAAGGTCTTGAAGCTGGGAATCGTAGAGGGCTGCTTGTCGAGTACGACTAAGGTCCAATGCTTGTTGCTTCTCTGAGGAACTCGACTTCGTTTTGAAATTGCAGATCCCAGCGAAATATCAACTTTGTTGACTATTCGACCCATAGAGTCGACGAAGTCGTAATATGGTTTCTTTGTTGTTGGGCGCATGAGGACAGGTTCATTCGCGTAGCTGAGGTTGTTTTACCAACGAATTGTCCCTTTTTAGCGTTTCAAGAGAAGACGAAGACAATTATAGGTAAAAGAAGGGTTTCAAATATTTCGAAGTTTTCTGAGTTTTTGAAGAGAATGGATTAAGATGGATATATCTTCGTAAAAGATATAATAAGGATGTAATAAGTAACCAAGAGATATAGGAGTTGAAAAGAGGTATATATAATACCATTTCTGTAGGAATGGTGTAAGAAGAAAGAGAAGATGACAGCGACAGGAGATGAGAGTTGGGGGATTATTATAATAGACGAAGAAGCTCGCGTAAGTTTAGAGCTTCAGTTAATGAGAGTAGGGAAGTGACAGGTTCAGTCACAGGCTTTATTTTCAAGATACATTTTTATGTATTCACTCCTTGCTATGGCATACCCGACTACGAAGGAGAAACTATCAGATCTCACGCAGCACATATTCATCTCTCAACGCCCCTTGATTCACTCATTGCCCTACTGTCAATTAATTCTTTCTGGAAATACTTTGTCTCCTACTAGACCTTCTTGAACTGAACATGTTTGGCAATATGAACGACGACAGTAAAAATAAGCTTTACCTTAGACTCCACGCTAGCGAGCGATGACATCCATGGAAGTCTCCATCACCGCTCCGCATAGGTGGTACGCTTAATCCATCCATGGAAGAACAGTGTGGCCATGGCCCATACGTCATTGGAGTAAGTAGTAAGCCTGCAGCCACATCTCCTCGCCAAAGCAGCCGCGTGAGGTATCCTCATCAACCCCCGATTACGACACTCGACGTGGCGCGATTCTCCCCATGGAGACCAGTGGCTGCATCAATCCATTATACCTGGGGTGGCTCGTGGCTCTGAGTATCGTCACATGACTGTGTCGCCGTCATAGCTATATCACCCGCCACCGCCTACTTATATATTGGCAAGCAGGGCATGACAGAGTTTGAAACCGCAATGATCGATCTGAAAGCAGATCTGTGCGATTCCCTGACATGTACGTGACTGTCTTTTTACTTCTGCGCTGGGAAAAATGTCAAATGCTGACATTACAGACATCTTAGCTCACGCAGCATTTTTTGTTCATCTTGATTCTATCTGACACGAAATGGCTGGCTCCAAGACCGAGACAGCAATCCGGTACCCCGAATCTGCCGACCAGAAGCGGAGGCTGCGAAACGTCACGCAAGACCGGAAATGGGCGTCGCGCATGCAGGAGAGAGCCCGCACCGGGGGCGAGAGGTCGTCCAACGCAACGGCCTGGCCCGTGGAGCAATTACTGGAGACGACAATGGATGACCAAGGCCGTCCGGTCCCCGACCCGGTCACGTTCAGCGACGGCACCAAAGCGCGGAGGACGGGTGTGCAGCCGGATGGTCAGGATATGGTGGCGGCTGTGAATGAGATTCCCTAATGGTTGAAGGAATTACGGTTTGAAAATAACAGACTCGTACCTGTAAATAGAGAAAGTCAAGGTTACTTCTGACTAGCAACGCTGATTTTCACTATATTCTGGTTTGTTTTGACGGCAACATGTTAAAAGACTTCAATGTGTACAGTACATAAGACTGCTGACTCTCCTACGCACCACTCCATATGGTATTCAGGCAAATACAGCTCACAATCCAGCGATCAAGGCTATACAGGTGGATTCTTGCGCCACGGGTGACGTTGAGATCCGAGCTCTGGTGGCGTCTTAGTATCAGTAGAGCCACCATCCTTCAATGTAGGTAGCGAATGAGGAGGACAGGTATTCATTCTCCGCCGGACAAGACGATGAGCTTGCCATGTTCGATGTTTCTGGGTACCAATGGGAATAGAGAACATTAATATTGATTGAGACAGCTTGTGGTTGTTGGATATTGGAATACAAAGAAGATAAATGTGGAGAAGCAGAAAACAAATTTCCATTCTTGGCAAAAACAAATCTAATCTGACAATTTCAAACGGAAAGGAGAAAAAGGAAAGACAAATAACAACATAACCGGACAACAGAGGAAACACCAAATTCATAGAACAAATAGAAAGTCCATTAGAAAAAATTTGCTCCCTTCTCCTGCGACAACAGGGCGACAGAGACAGAGAGAAAATTTAATCCGCCTCGTCAGCATACGCCTGCGCCTGCATCTCCGCCAGCTCCTGACGGAGACGAGAGAGCTTTTCACGCCTCCAGCGGATGCTCTCCTCCTCGCGTTCCAGAGCGCCTTGGTGACGGATAATCTCCGCCCGCTAGTATGTGACAACGATGTTAGAAACAGTCTCACCTCATGCATGAATGGGAAGCATCTCACCAGTTTTTCCATGGACAATTCGGCCTGGATTTTCTTCATTTCCTCCTTCTTTTCTTTAACTTCCTTCTTGTCGTTGCCCTTGTAGTCCTTCTTCTTTCCCTTATTCTTCTTCTTTTTCCACAGCTTCATCACCTTCGAAGGGGGGATGGAGCTGGGGTCGCCCAGGAGACCTTTGATGGCATTGCCGCCCGCGACGAGGTCCTCGAGGCGGCGGTTGTTGCGGTTGTGGTCCTTGCTGCGGCTGCCGCTGCTGTGCTTGTGCTTCTATAGGATATTCGATTAGCACCCTACCTAGTACTTGATACTTCTAGCCATTAGTCGGTGTTGTAATTGGTCTACTTACCCTGGGGGCCATTGCAGCAGTTGACTTTCAAAGAGGATTTTCCTTTTCGAGAAAGAAGTAAAGGATTGGAAATTCGAGTAGAAAGATTTAAACCTCTTTCTGTTCGCTAATCTAGTATAAGTCAGTATCTGTACTTCAACAGAGGTATTGAATTAGGGTTGCTGTTTTACAGTCACGATCGGCGCGCCGAGGAGAGGCAGGGAGTGAGAAAACAAGAGAGATAGGACGAGTGGCGAGCTGGGAGGTCCCTTCACGCAGGCTGGGCGTGTGCCTCGCGTGTGTCTGTTTTGTCTCTGCCAGGTCACGAGACATCAGCTGACCAGACCTGGATCACTGTATGTTCTCCCTATCCTGAGACAGATCATTTATTTCATGATCTCAGCTTGCTTTTTTATTGTCCAGTCTTCTTTTACAGACATCTATTTAACTTTCTTACTCTTCTCCATGTTTTTCATCATACTTAATCACCAATACCCTCTATTGTCTTGAGACTTCCAGATTCTTCTCGCTATTCAATCATTCTTGACACAACTAATGTGTCATAAACAAGCTTATACTGCAGCGTGATCGCCAGCATGGCCCCAAGAGCCAGTTATCTGCACGCAAACATGACCTCCACGATTGCCCCACATGAAATCTTCACAACCAGCTCCTAACTGCACATCAATATGCATCTTTCTTATTTTTCCAATAGCTGACTTCATCAATAGATTTATGCAAGCTAGCTTGTTCCAGGTAGATATCCACTCCGTATCTACCTAGGTTTAGGGTTCTGTTATCACGTGGTTACCCCACATGGAAGCAATGCCAAGCCAACTTGAAAGATTACTCAAGAGGGCAAATATTCCGACTTTCTGCATTTTCCTTGACTCCTGGTTTTCTTTACTTTTTTTGAGTGGGCGTTAATAGGTACATGGATTGAGCAGGATATAATCCCCAGATACAATGCATGGACAGTTTGATGATGAGAATCTGACTGGGGATCAAGAAGACGTGGGACTGCCACAACAATAAGGCAGAGAAATGACACACCGAATCGTGGGTTGAGAAAAAAAGACCCCTGCTATCATAAGACATGTCTAGAAAAAGACCATATCTCTGGATAACTGCAGCTGTTTCTGCTTATGTTCTACCAGATCTATATTTAGCGTGGACAAACTTCTAGGAACAAAGCCATCTCACCTGTGCAGCCAGCAGCTATCCGAGACAACGAATGACATGGAATCATATCGACGGTATTATAATTTAGGCTTATATTCATCCAAGAAAGCCTTAGTTTTGATCTTCCCTATTTCTACGTCTTGTCAAGCTAAGAGTTCTATTCATCGTCTCCGTTGACAATATACTTCTCTACAGAAGGTGAACTCGATTCGTTGCCACTACCACTGGTGACTACACCAAGGGATTCGTCATCCAGTAAATATTATCCACCTTGCCAGAGTCCTGAGACCCAGTGAATATATTTTGTAACGAGGGTATGGTATGTCACTAATCCTCCTACCAATTCACTTCACTGATTACCTGAAGGCTTAAGCGAAACATTAGCCTCCCGTCTATAAAAGACCGCCAATCCCCCTCTCCCTCGCTCTGTCAGTCTTATCTCTCTTGTATGGACATTATTTCCATCTTTCGTCATTATATATTATATATTCTACTCGATATACTTTTGAAATGGCTTGACGATCGTGGTTATGAAAAGCTTCGCGAAGAACTTGGTATGTTCTTCAGCTTCACATTTCTTCTATACCGTCCTCGTCGTCGTTGTCGTCGTCCTTCCGCATCAGCAGCACCAACAGCAGGAGGGCATTATTCTCTTGTCTCAGAAGAAGGCTGTGAGTATCACGCTCTTTGGATATAGTCGTGATCCAGCATTCGACTCCCGCGGGCGCTCCCCGAGCGTCGCGGCCTGGGCGAGCGCGTGGTTCGTGGACCTCCCGCAGCCAGCGTTCTTCACTCCCAGGTTCACGGCCAACCAGGTTCAGGTTCCCGTGCTCGGCGTCAAGGAAGTATCCGAGTCTACGGAATTTGTTGGCATTCCTCTGTTCTGTTTCGTATCCTGAAGCCCAAACTCATGTTCTGAAGATTTCACATAGGGAATACGCCCCAGTTGATAATTAGAATCCACTACAGCTCAAAAACAGAAACGAATCTCGCCGTCGGAGAAACTATTGATTAGGACTCGTCATTTTCGCGGTCTGCGCCGCAATCCTCAGATCGCTGGTATGATCGCCGAAAATCGGCAATTAGGGTAAAGAAATAGACCATTTGATTCATTAAAAGTGGCTAATGTGTTATTGAATGTAGGTCTGCCTTGGAGGCAGCAAATGCTGCTATCTAAAATCTTAATGAAAGGTAAGTGGGCCTGTAGGTGGACTGATATAGAGATTGTCGTTGATGGATGATTGAATTGGTATAGGGTGTCAGCTGCTGAAAGGTATGGACATATAACATGGATTTACTATCAAACTTGCCAAAAACTAATTGGGATATAGCACCGCTAATGCCACAAATGCCATATGAGCATATAGGTATGAATTTCAGCACTATCCAAAGACAATATGGGCTAACGAGATTATAGCAATGATGCTAGAGAGGAGCTACAGCAGTAAGAGTCCAATTATAAGCATGAGTTCAAGCAGCAATTGATTAATGATATTGCATTAGGATTGAAGGATTTTGCCCGGATTCCGGGGACGAGAGCGAGGTGTGCTGTGTTAGCCAGATTATGCATTGTTTTCTTCATGCGCCCGCCATCCTTTGTGGCCGAGAATGCCACGATTTTCATAATGGATTCGGCGGATACTCGACTGACCAAACTGTCAGAACATGCCCAAGGACAACAGGTCTAGACGCTCTATGCAGATCCTGATCCTGTTTACGCGACGCCCATCGACGCTAGTAAGAAGTGTGAAGTGGGAATTATTGCAAGCGTACAGTCCAAGGTTCGACAGGAACAACAAAAGATAGACCTGGTATAGCAAACAAGTTGACGAACGCCTGCGAAATGCAGTCACGCTGCTACCCCGACCAAGTCCAAACTGCTAGCATGCTGGTACGATGACGACTCTGAAGAGGAATCAAGAGACGCAATATCAAATATCCACACTCTTGGCTTCAAGGCGATTTGTATCACTTTCCCCTTCTCCCCTCTGTCTTACAACTGTGGCAGTTACTGAATTTTCATGCAGAAGCGGCAACTGCCGAGCTCTTCGAAGCCAAAGGTAAAAGCCTCAGGAAGTCTCCGCAAATAAAATTGCTCTCCGTAACTAGCATGACTTGTCACCGCAAGACTGGGGGGTTCACACGCTGAGAGCTCTTGAGTCCTCCGCAAAGGTAAATACTTATCTCTTAAGCGACAATACCAACTAGCTCCTTAATAACGTGGTTTTAGCGTCGCAAATTGGCAGATGACCGGGAATGACGCAACTGTGTCGAATTCACCTTTCTTGACAAATCTCGACTCACAACGGAAGGGAAAAGCATCTGGGCAACGGTCGATAGGGAATGCAAGGCTAGAGCGAACGTCTTCAGATCCCCTTTTTTTTTTTGGAATTTCTGCGGGAGAACTCGGGTAACTGAACTACGCTCTGCTGCTTACCACGAAGGGCAGAAGCGCGAGAATCTCCTCAATATTCAACCTCAGAGATTCAACATTTAAAAGCGGGACGATCTGTCCGTATCTTCTACGACCACTTTCGTGATACGCACAATAACATCGTCAACGCCAGTCAGTCGTTCCACTTCACACATCCAGGCTTTCGTTGGTTTCTCGACGCCAACAGTCTCCCACCATTCTATGCACCGATTTGTACACGGCTGGAAAGAGAAAAGTAGCCTTCTGAATGGTCCGTGAAAGTCAAGGGAGACGAGCGTCTTTCGTTTGTCCAAGTTTCTGTTGATTCCCCGTTGACCAGCCATGCCCGTCCAGCGGGAGCAAAAGCACGGAGAAAGAATTATGATGATCTATCTCCCAGGAAAAAAGGGAAGGACCGCGTGGCAAGATATCAAATAGTGGCAGAGTATTGGATACTCCTTCGAAGAAGCCAAAGCACTCTAAGATCGAGATAGTCGATATAACTGTATTTAATGAAGAGGACATCGATGAGGTGGATATCGGGTCCAGGAATAAAGACAACTCAACAAACTATCAGCAACAAGAGCAAGATTCAGGCATAGAGGTAAAGGATGTTGTTGAAGCCATCACCAGACAACCTGATAGCAGTGAGCCACACAAGAGTGGATGTGGCTGGTCAAAAAAAAAAAACGCTGTTGAATACCCGTCACCGTCGACTTTCAATCCTTCCAAGTCAAACCCCTTCTATAGAAGACTGCAGAGTCGACGAAAAGAAAAAGGTATTATCAAATACCTCGTCAGATGGAATGGTTACGGCCCAGAATATGAATACGACTACTGGTACCGCCGTGACGACCTCGACAACGCTCAAGATATCCCCGAAGCGAGGCGCAATGGACCTCGGGATTTTATCATGAGCATGGTCAACGCCGTCAACCCGGATGGTTCTCGCAAGTACCACCTGGACATCCAGCTCCCTGGTCCACAATTACGATTCACTGCACCCGCTGGAGGGCAGTTCTGGGTGGGGCCGATATGGGATGATGGATGTCGCGGTACGATTGCGTACCTTGACGGATCCCGAGTAAGGACCGTCCATATGTTACATGGGTCCTCCATCTCCATGTATCACGTGTGGACGGACCATATCCGTATCGTAGTCGGAGGATCCATCATGGTTCTTCCACCAAGCTTAGCACCGAATCCAATGGTTATACCATTAAGCTGCTACAATGGAGATCTTGGGGCCTTTTTTTTTGTTTTCCGTACCTGATCACATAAGGTAACCAGGCTGGATGGGTTGTGGATAGAGCAGCAGAGGAGCTGACAAATTCCGTATTTGAATTGGTGTAAAAAGTTCATGGTAAAGAACAAGTACTCTTAGGAGGAGCTTCTGTGATTGCAATGACGTATATGTAGCAAGAGCATAAATGGAGTGGAAGGACTGTGTAGTGTCTGCGCGAGAAAAAGGAGAAGGGCTTCTAATGCAGCCATGCTCATTATTTATTTCTACAGTCATCATCATCCTTGTCCTGCTAGATGCCATAGTCAGTCAGTTTCACAGTATGCCTTTCTGGAATCTATAAATCAATCAAGTACTATGACATCTACGCTTCCCTCGAGAAAGATAGATGATGGCAAATATGGTGAAGCTTCAGTTTTGATCAAATGCAATAGAATAGCTCTGATCACATACAGAATTGACGTTTGCTGATATTACGCAAGTGCCTGCCTCCAGGACCTCCTAGCGACTGGTGAAGACTCTGAAGTCCATGCAGAGTGTGATAACCACTCTGCTCAGCAGCCACATACCCCTGATGGGGTGAGCTCAGGGCAGCGCTGCTCACCTACTAGAACAGGAAGGGTAGTCGAAGGTAGGTAGTCTAATTACAAGGTAGTAGAAGTAGTGTGAAGAATTGCTAGCCTAGCATAGGTATATCATATTAGCTGCTAGCTTATTAGCTAGTTAGCTAGCTAGTTTTAATAAGATAACATCTGTATGATATACATACAGGACATCCATGGATTAATTAATATGTAAGTATTCTGCATCTGCATCTGCACCTATCAGTGTCAGCATTAATTTTGATAGTGGTTTTAATATTAATACTGTGATGATATAACCTTATGCGGTATCCTGTCCGTTTTGGGGGGTACTCCGCTCGCTTGCTGTATTTAATTGTGATGCATATATATATACCATGCTATTAATTGTTGGACGTACATATGGAGTTCGCATTAATGCAAGGATTGTTGGAGCTTTTTTTTTTTGCCTGGGATTAGTTCTGAGATATGGATATTTCTGTCTGAAGATTTTTTGTCATTGTATTAAATTTATGAATCGAATTTATGAAGCTACTCCTATCATTTGGACGTAGTAATTCTCTCTCTTTTTTTTATTTTTTTTTATAGGGCGGATGGACCTCGCAAGATGGATCTCGATATCGCGCTGATGTGGGGGTCTTTTCGTTATCTGGATTCAGATAAAAAAAAGCCGAAAAAAAAATGCTGTCATACGTCGCAATCCGACAAGTCTTGGCTCAATGATAGCGGAAAAGCGTTCATGACGGAGTATTGCCTGCGGGGCTTGAAAGCGGGGTCGAAGCGAACTTATGCATGTCAATTGCCGACAGTCACGGGGCCCGCGGCAGAGAAGTAAAAAGAGAAAAAAAAGAGAACAGCGAGTTTTCCGCGCGAGTCAATAATGACACTGTCTTATTACATTATATGTAGGGCGAAAATTCCATTGGATGTCGATCAATGACACGGTGATATTTTCGACCCAAGACAGTGGAGGCGTGAGTGCTGCTGGAGCTTGGGCCGCCTGTCAGGGCTGGCTGTGCCCGAAGAAGGACCTCCTAAATTAGGAACCTGGGATAGTGGCTTGACTATACTGATGGCACCGCAGACGCACGGTCCTGTCTGTGGAGATTCTTCAGCGATCTGCTTAGTCCTCCGTGTGTACCCACGCCCGCGCAAGAGATCGACCCGAAGTAGCTCCAGGCCTGGTGCAGTAATAATAATGAAACAGTTATGATGATCATGAAACAACTCGAGCAGTTCACCGTGCTGCTACGAGCAGGAGCTCTGATATATAAGCTGATTGAACTGACAAAAGAAAAGAATGCCATAAATTGATATACAGCAGAGTGGCGACTGGCGACTCGAGCCCCTCCATGTGACTCACTGGTCACGGGCCGTCCCTCACCGCCCGCCCGACGCCATCCAGCCCGATTTCCAATTCACAACTCGTCCGTCTGGATGGATTTGCGCGACGCATCCTCCGTACAGAGTACCGTGGAATGGCCTGCGCTAGCTGCCTCTGCTGAGTCGCATCCGCTCTCATCACTATCACATCACGTTGCCTGACTGACTGCCCAAGAGCATCCCGTTGATTTAGCTGCGAGCACATGACCACATCGTCACCAAGGCATTGGACACGTCCACGCACGATGCTCGATTAACGGCGGCTAAAGCAGCGCTGCAGCATGGACGGCACAAGCAAAAGCTAAAGCAGGTGGGATGCTGCCAAGCCTGAACCTTGATCTTATTATAGGCACTCCGACTATTGAGCACGGCATACGGCGTTTCGAGGCCCTTTTTCCCTCTATCAATTGAGCCAGACGTAATGCCTGCCTCTTCCAATCACACACTTACGATCACTCTAACCGGAAATGGTGCCATCCCGCCGACCTCGAGGCCACCAGCCATGAGATGCAATTGGGCCGATATCTGCGAATGGGCTCTGTCGACGGCCACAGCCACAGCACATCGCTCTCCCCCGGGACTGCCATGGCCAATGAAGCACATATACACGCAGGGTAACCTGGGGCCAGGCGTGAAGGATCCTGAGACCTGAGACCTGGCAGCACAGCGACGAGTATTGTGCTCTGGATGCCGTTCTCTCTGGGCAGCCAAGGCTCTACGCGCCGGTCCCTTCGGCGGGTGGAGCGACTGCCGGCCCGCGATCGCGCTGTCGCCGCGTGATTGGCGGCTGCAGGTGACGGGCCTGCAGCGTGAAGAAGCCCCGCCTGCCAATCAG